GTCACCACATACCCATGGTTACCTTGCCTGGCAGGAACCTGGATTTTCCCAATTATGTAATTTTGTGAAGTTGGTGTGTTGGTTTGGTTGTGTTTGTGCCTGGGGTGGGGTGAGTGTATGTTGCTGAGAATGGATTTTATGAAATTGATGTGTTGTACATTGTGCATTAGAAGGTTGTACCTTGCTTGACAGCATCCTTCAAATTTGTCAAGATTGAATTTTTATGAAATTGTTGTTGTTGTTGCTTTGATTGTGTTCACTGTTCACATATGTTTGTCAAAGATTGGATTTTTATTACATGAAAAGTAGTATTCTTTGTACACTGTGCATCGGAGTTATACCTTGTGCCCTAGAAGGTTCTGCATTGTGCATAGAAGATTGTACCTTGGCTGAAAGGATCCTGGATTATCCCAATTATGATTTTTTGTGTAGTTGGTGTGTTGCTTTGGTTGTGTTTGTGCCTGAGGTGGGGTGAATGTTTGTTGCTGAGAATGGATTTTGATGAAATTGATGTGTTGTACATTGTGATTTAGATGGTTGTACCTTGCTTGAAGGCATCCTTAAAATTTGTCAAGATTGATTTTTTATGAAATTGTTGTTGTTGCTTTCATTGTGTTCACATATGTTTTAATTTTTATGTCTGACGTGGCTGATTTTATGGTTATTTTATGAAACAATTGCATATATATACACAAAGCCCGTAAAGATTCGATTTTTATCACAAGAAAAGTAGTATTCTTGTAAATGTCGATTGCCGTCTCTAATTGCTTGATTAATTAATTAATTACCTCGTTCGCACTCATACGAGCTTTCGAATACTACGTATATAAAGTACGTTTCGAACGAGAATTGAAGTTATATATAACGTTGAAATTTTTTACTTTTTGCAGTTCATCGCAGCGTGTAAGAAGCCCCCGGTATTTTGCATAATCACAGAGTACTACCCGGGCGGGTCCCTCCGGAAATACCTCCACCAGCAAGAACCCTATTCGCTCCCACTAAACCTTGTACTAAAACTATCGCTCGACATTGCGCATGGGATGCAATATCTCCACGGTCGAGGGATTCTTCACCGAGACCTAAAATCGGAGAATCTTTTGCTCGACGAAGATATGTGCGTGAAAGTGGCGGATTTCGGAATATCCTGTTTGGAATCTCAATGCGGTAGCGCGAAGGGATTTACGGGTACTTATAGATGGATGGCTCCGGAGATGATTAAGGAGAAACACCACACGAAGAAAGTGGATGTTTATAGCTTCGGCCTCGTTTTGTGGGAGCTTTTGACTGCGTTGATACCGTTCGATGATATGACTCCCGAACAAGCTGCATTTGCAGTGTGCCAAAAGGTAAAAAGATATTTTTCTTTTTACTTTCTTTTAAAACTAATGCTTATAAATTATTGTTAAGATCAACCCATTAACCCTAATCCCAAAATCCTCCCAAATACTGTTATATCGAATTGTTAAAAAGTTTGCCGTACTATTAAAATTTGCCGAAACCCCCCATATGATGCATTTTTTAGCCCTAGATGATGTGTTTTGTAGGGGTAGTTTGCTAAGAAAATTAAATCATATGTTTTTTAATTTTTTTTTTTAATTTTTTTTAATTTTTTATTATTATCTTGTATTTATAACAAAGGGTGTAAATGAGTTGAGTCGGCTCGACAAAACCTCGAACTCCAAATTTTCAAGCTCGAGCTTTCTGACGAGTCGAGCCCGAGCTCATTCTTAGTTGTTCTTGAGCTCACGAGCCGGCTCTTAAATAATTAATATAAAACTAAATAATAAATCATATAGATAATTAAAAAATAAATTTAAAAAATTAAATTACAGGTCATTTTTTTATTATAATTTATAATAATATTAATAAAAATTAAAAAGAAAATAGACATAACGGTTCAAGCTCAGCTCGCTCGAGTTCGAGACCAAAAAAAATACTCGAGGAGCTCGAGCTCGCCAAAACAGCCAAGCTCGGCTCATTTATACCTCTATTTATAACACGGTGAGGTTTTTAGCAATTCAATATAAACAATGAGGGGCTTAATGCAATTAATCCTATTTATCTTCTTTTCGTTGTTCATGCTTTAGTTGGA